TCATGTATAGAGTATCGGGAGTGCAATTTGAGTTTTTAATTTATATTTAAAAATCTATATAATAATTCATATAAATTAGGAGTAGTTTAAAAATTCACGATAAAATTTTGAAAAATTACAGCTCTATACCTGCTGAAGCGCATTTTCGGTCAAATCAGATTTTTCTGATTTCTAAAATAACACTAAGTAAACGATTTAAATTTGAGTGGTTCATCCCCGTGAAACCCTTATTCCGTTAAGACAACTAAAAATGATATTATTAGCAATAGAGGTCATTGAGTTTCCAAAGTTGGTGCTCAGTTAAAAATCTGCACCCATTTTGGGACAAATTTTTTTATGAAAACCATCCTTTTGCACTAGGTTATGGCAGATTATATAAAGTTAGAGATATGGTTTGATTAAACTGTAAATGTGGGTAAACTGCGAGTTCTTAGGGTAAAAATTATTTTTATAGTTATCTTTTCTTTTATATCATTAATGGATATATTTAATAACGTTTTGTATTAACAACAATAAAGATTCATTAAAAAAATAATAATATATATTTATATTAAAAAAAAAATATATATCAAAGACCAACAGGCCCGAGTCGGGTACACTGGGCCTTATTTTTATTTTTTTAAATATAGCCGGGCAGACCTAAAAAATTTTAAAAAAAATACCCGGACAGGGCGAGGCCGTATATTTTAAAACCAAATATTTCAAATCGTGATTATTAGCTATAAAAATTAAAATAATATATATAAAAAAAATCCGGACCGGGCCGTGCTAATGGTACCTCTGCAGGTCTCTGATATATATAGAGTTGATATATCAATTTTTTGTTTTATATCCTTAAATTACTTCGATTTATTATTTTTTTTGTTATAAGGCAACTTAAATATTTCAGTTTTAAACTGACTTCAATTTTTTTTTTGTTACAACGCAGCGTAAATATTTCGTTTTAAATCTTGATCCTAAAGATATATTTAAGTTTTATTTTACTGTAAAATTTTATTACCGCTTTGATATGCACTTTAAAATTTTGTTTAAACCTTATTAATTGACGATAAAAATTTTACAAAATAGCAACAATTTTTGATCATAATTAAAAATGTATTATAATAAATGTATATTACTTTAGAAATGAAAAATTGTAATGTTTCTTTTTATAATATAATAAAAATGACTAACGTATTAAATCTAACTTAAATTCCCCCTCCCCCTCACCCCCATTTCCAGCATAAAGATTATATAATTATTTCTTATTTTAATAATAGATGGTTTAAATTTGTTAATGAATCGTATAAAAAATAATTATAATTAAAAAATAAAATTTTATAATATATAATACGCAAGTTGGCGTTTATTGTTATCTAATATTATAATCAGACTTGCAAGTAGAGGTGGGACCAATACCAATATAATATTGGTTTACAATACCAATACCAATATAAACCAATATATAATTAAATATTGGTATTGTTTTACAACCAATACCAATACCAATTACCTAAATATATTGGTTTTGAAATATTGTTTAAATACAATTTTAACCAATACCAATATTAAAAATTTAAAATAGATAAATACATAAAATTATTTGGTTTTATGCGTGGATAATTATATCGTGGTATATTTTTTTACTTTCATTCATAAACATATTACATCTGTTATTTCTTCCAAATATTCCTGTGATATCAATATTGGTGTTATTTATAATTATAGTTTATTTTTATTATGGAAGTAAGTTTTCTATATATCTATCAATTTTATCTATTAATTCATTTAGGATATTATAATGAATGAAAACCAAATCGAGAAATAAATATAGATAATGATGTTGATACTAATAATAATAGCGATAATGAACAAGAAGAATCAACGATATCTAATAAAAGACGAAATACAGCAAAAATCTGGGAATTTTATACTAGTTGTGATAACAAAAAAAAGGCTATTTGTAATAAATGTAAAAAAGATTTATCTATTCCCAATTTTGGAACCTCAGGATTATGGACACATCTTAAATCCATCCGCCCAACTTTATATAAGAAATGTGAACAAATAAATAATGGCAGTAAAAAAATTAACACCATAAAATCATTTTTAATTAATAATGTAAATAATAAAACTAATTTAAATAATTTAATTATGGACTTTTTTATTCAAAATAATTTAGCCTTTTCAATGGTTGAAAATGAGTCATTTAAAAATTTAATAAGCTTTTGCAACCCCTCATTAACATTAATTTCTAGAAAAACACTTAAAAAAGAAATTATGAAACATTATCATAGTTCTTTTATCAATTTAAAATCTGTACTTTCTAAAATTACTTCTAAATTTTCTTTAACAATGGACATTTGATCCTCTCCAAATAAAATACCCTTTATGGGCATAACCATTCATTATATTGATAATGATTTTAAATTAATTAATCATTTATTAGATTTTATTCCTTTTAATAATATTTTTAATTCTGTATTAAAAGTAAAATTTGAAATTGATTTTTTTTGTATTACATTAGATAATGCTAGTAATAATTTAGCATTTTTAAAAATTTTAAAACTAAAAGACAATTTTGATAATGTGTGCAAATGTTTTTGCCATATTATCCATTTATCTGTCATGGCTGCATTGGAACCTCTAAATCCAACTTTAAAAAAAATAAGAAATTTTTAAACTTTCTATATCTAAATTTAATAAACTTGAAAAAACATATCTTGAAAAAAATCCAAATTTAAAATTTCCTCACCCTATTTTGGATATACCAACACGTTGGAATTCAACGTACCAAATGCTCGAAAGGGCTATATTGCTCAAACCTTATCTCACAATATATACCAATCATCAACAAAATACTAATGAAGAATATTATATTAGTGCCTTAGCTTGGAATAATATTGAGATATACCGAGAATTTTTAGAACCATTTAATTTTGCTACAGAGATGGCCTCATGTGCTAATACTCCATCAGTTTCAACAATCATTCCTTTATATTCCAGTATTTGAGCACGTTGAGAGTTATGATAATAATCCTAATGCTATTTTAAAGACAGCTTCATTAGCTGCCTTGACAAAACTTAATAAATACTATAATTTTAATAAACACCTATATATTATTTCAACAATATTGACCCAAACTATCAAGTCACTTATTAAAGCATAATAGTATAGAAACTCTTATTGGATGTCTAACCAATGAATATAATATTTATAAAACAAATAATTACAATTCAGCTGAACCTACAAATGAAACACAAAATAACAAAAAATTATCCTTTTTTGACAAAATATATCAGGTTAAACCTAGTCACAACAATAATAACTTAGAAATAAGCAAATATGTGGATGAAGCCACAATTTATAATGATACAAATCCATTAGACTGGTGGAAATTAAATAAAAATAGATATCCAATATTATCAAAAATTGCCAGAGATTATCTTGCAATTCCAGCTTCTTCATCTAGCTCTGAAAGGGCTTTTTCAGAAGAAAGGTATCTTATAACATATCAACGTTGTTCACTAGATGAGCATACTATCCAAGCTTGCATGTGCTTAAAAAGTTGGATGCGCATGAAGGATTCTTCTTAAATACATAAATTTTTTTCTTTATATTACAATCTTTTGCACTATATTTTATATAAATAGACAATTATGTTACATTTTTAGTGTATTCATTTTGCTATATTCTTTGTGCTAAATAAAAAGTTTCAAAATATACGTTTATTATTTGATTGGTTTGTTGATTTCAAAAATATATTAGTTTAAAAAAAGAATTTGGATTTAGTAAAATTTTGGAAGTTGGTTCTTAGCCTTGTTTTTATGGTAATGCTTCATGATTTTTTTTTCCATGTTTATTTAAAACTAGAAATTAAGAGTTTCATAATCACTATTTCTATTCTTTTAATTAGTAATTTGAATTTAAACCAATACCAATATAAACCAATATATACCAATATAAACCAATACCAATAGCAATACCAATACAAGAAATAGAAAATATTGTTTAAACCAATACCAATATTTTAAACCCAATACCAATACAATATTTTGTTTATATTGGGTTTTTAATATTGGTTCCAAGCCCTACTTGCAAGCCCGGTATATAGGCCGGGCCGTATTTTAACTTTTCAAAATATACATGTGCCGGGCCTAAAATAATTTTCCGTATATTTTGATTCGCCATTATTAGCGATAAAAATTAAAAATAAATGTAATACATTTTTAAAAAATTTAGGCCGGGCATAAAAATAGCCAGGCCGGGTAGAAAAAAATATTAATAAAAAATCAGGGCCTAACCAGTATAAATTTTTTTTTTAATCCAGGCCGGTTTGGGCCATGATAATGGTGCCATTGCAGGTCTCTAATTATAATATATTATATAACAAGAATAATTATTGGATCAATTTTGAAAAATTGGACAATTTATATTGATTATAATTTATTCATATCTAAAATCTCAAAATTTAAATCACTATAAATAATTAATTATAATATTTTCCTTTACTGGTAAATACATTTAAATAATGTACTAATTTTATTTAAAATAATAGAGAAAAAGTATATTTACTGACAAATCAATTAAAATGTTAAAAAAATATGTATCTATTTATTGTTAAATATTAGAATCCTCCAGAGGTAACAAATGCATAGCCCAATCTGGGTACGTAAAAATAAATTTCAGTCTGGACCAGATTATTTTTAAAAAAAATTCAGCCTGGCCGAGCCCGGGTTTTATATTTACCAACCATGCCCACCTATTTTTTAAAAAAAATATGACCTGCCCGTTTATTAAGGTCAAGCTTTGGTTTAAGTCTGCTAGCCTAAGGTAATTATTTTAAAACATCGAAAAAACATATATTCCGAAACCTATATTAATAATTAAAATTCAAAATACAATAAATCCTCAACTGAGAATTATTTAAAAAGCTAATTCCCCTAAAATCTGACAAAATTAACACTTAATAACCAAAGAATGAATGGATAATTAACTAAAAAAACAGTATAATCTCGTTTTAAAACGACCTTTTGTGGTTAAGAGTATTCATAGCTTCTAGCCGAGCCAACCACCAACGAGATTCGTAAGGTTGAGCTGGTCTATTTTTACTGGCATGATCAAAATCTTCCTGATATTTCAACTGATCTTCAAAACGGGCGCTCCAAAAATTCGGATCGTAAGTGGATTCGTTTTGGTCATCGGAACTATAATATGCATATGCAAACATTTCTAATATATAATTTGTATTTTTTAAAAAAAAATCAATATTTTGTATAAATTTTGCAGCAGAGTACATGACCAGATGGTGTAGAGTATTTGATGTTTCAGGGGGTACGCTTTTAGGATGTAGGGGGTAAAAATATTGAGAGCATTGGGTAAATCTAGGCGCGTTACCTCTAATATTTTTAATCTATGGTGAAGACACCCGAAAAATATGAGTAAAACTTTGAAGAACTAACTATATCATTTATACCGCGACATTCTTAAATAAAATGACCGTTTATATTGGTTTAAAAATCAGAAATGTGTAGTTTATATTTCCAAAAACTTTGAATGGATGCAACACTTTATTTTATTTCTGACAACCGTTAAACCCTAATGTATAAAATAAATAAAAAAGTTAAACAACTTATATAAAACCTGTCGTAAAACGATGAACCGTATCTGTTCGAAACATTCCTATATGAAGACCTATTTTTTTCGAAGCCTTTCCTAGCCTTATCGAAGTCACTCCCATTTTCGTACATTCTTGACTTTTTTGCAAAAAGAATCTTATCATATTCTTGTCTCTTGACGGGGTCTATCAAGCATTCATAGGCTTCCGCTATTTTTCTGAAATTGTCAGCTCTTGTTTGACTATTTATCCGCGCATTTTGATCAACTTTAGAATCTGGGTGATAAATCTTGCATTTAGCGTAATAGGCACTTTTGATGGCTTTGTTGTCGGAATTGAATGATAATCCCAACAGAGAATAGTGATCTATCTTTTGTGATAACTCCTCTTCGCTAAGATGAGAATTTTTGGAAAAATATTTGATTTGAAGTTTGAAATTATTGTTACAAGATTTCGGAGTAAAAATGGATTTAAGCAAGAGAGAATATTTCATACGATTATTATTGTTTATCAACTTCAAAGAATTTGTATGTGAAAGAATGGGTGGTGTTGTGTCAAAATGATAGTTATTTATCATATTTAAAGTATGTCTATGTTTTCATGTCGGATGTTTAAGACTGTGATTATTAGAAGAATTATATATTGGTAGGTTTAATTTTAAAAATAAATAACAAATATGGAAAAGCAAAAGAGGTTAGTTTTTTTGAAAAAAAATAATGAACGGTTTTCTTTTATTTTTGACGAACTTTGAACGTGAATGCGTTCCTTTTTTGACGAATGCGTTCGTTTTTTTACGTTCGTTCAATTTTAGAAAATTTTTTAATTTTTATTCATTTGAAAATAAAAAATATTAATATAATATTAATCCAAATTTTTTTAAAAAAGGGGGTTTAATCAGCTGTTTTTAGAAATATTTTTTTTTATTCACTGTAAAATATTAATTTTAAACATGGCCAATATATTGTGTTAAAAAATATACGGCTTTTATTTATATTAAATTAAATATTAAAGGGATTTTTTAAAAAAAATTTATTCATAAAGTTTTGAAGGAACATAATTGCATCCTTTTTTTTGTAAATGAACATTGAACGCATTCAGCACTAATAAAATCTAATATATGCTGTAAGAAAATATAATTTTTTTAGTGCAAAATTGAATCAAAATATTATTCAAATAACCTTCAGAGAGTAGAATAATTTGGTATTGACCTATGGTACCAGCAATAAATAAAAACCGCTGGCCATAATCTCTATTATAAAACATAAAAAAAATGTGCAAGTTAATATTATTTTAAAAAATATAGAATATAATTAAAATTTTAAGAAAAAAAAAGTTTATTATTTTCTCAAGGAATGTATCCAAGCATAAACCTGCAAAAATAAATATAACCCCTCAATTAAATTTTGTTGGGGGGAGTGGGGAAGCCACTTAAAAGTTAACTTAAGAAAAAATCCTGATAACATTGAATTTATATTTTATCTATTACAATAATTTTTCATATATATATTTCTTCTGGTAACCATATTTTCCTGCAAAATGGGCATATACCCATCCTGATTGGGATCCTTTAAAAATGATTTATTAAAAAAAGAAATAAATAATATACATCCCTTATAATTTTTGTAACCTGTGAAATTTTGAGTAGAATACAACTTTAAATTAGTTTTTTCTTCTTTTTATATATGTCAGATAAAACCAATCTTATATTATATTTATTATACATATTTAAAAATATGGTAAATATTCCTATTCTAAACAATATAGGTAATTTTTTGAATCTTTATTTGATATCTAAATCAGTTTTCCTAATAATTAATTTTTAGGGGATTATAGATAAACTTCTATTTAAAAACCAAATTTATTTGGATGTATAAAACTTAAAATTAAATAATTTTTGATGTACTGACGTATACACCTATCAGTATATAATAATTTTTATAGCTACCATTGCTTTACCATATATTAAAGGGACAAAAGATTGTATTGCCAATCACAACATAGAACAATATTTCAACCTTCAATAAAATAAAAACAATACTACCCTAATACCTATCTTAATAAAAATAATTACCTCAATGACCTAGTATTTACCATGCGATTCTTGTAGTAAATGCTATATTGTACAAACTGGAAGAATAAAAAGAGAATTGCTGAACATTCTTATACTAAAATTTTTATAACCATCTCTAATTAGTTTAGCTGAAAACTGTATCATTATAAACATCTAATAAAATTTTAATAATAGTCAAAGATTCTATCAAAATACACAAAAAACCTAATAATCTTAAATGGAGGATATTCCATTTTTCCTTATTAGCATTTTTACAAATATTTTATTTTGTATTTTTTCTGCAATGACTTCATGAAAGTAGATAGACTATTGCCCTCACTTATATATTATAAATAGATATTATTGATCAATATTTAAAACATCAAATTTTAGAATAAAAATTTGCCCTCATAGAAAATAAAAGTCAGCATGTCAGATTATAATTCGTTTGTCTATTTTATCTCATTTATAAATTAATATTGATATACAAGTTAGTACATATTTTAATTATGTTTACTTAGGATATTTTATGATAAATAAGCGTATATTTAAAAATAGTAATAAAAATTTTTTGAAATGTATCAAAATATGATATATTAAATAAAAAAGCATTTATTATAAAAAGCGGCCCAACATATGTTTTTAATTGTCATTATTATATGATTTAGACAGTTGTAAATTTGATATTTTCATATGAAATTATTATATTAAATTTGTTTTATTGCATTTTATATGAGGTATTATCTCTCCTTTAGATCTTTAGTTTTGACTGAGATGGTGAAGATATTAGATCATATTTCTCAGTTTCAAGTGATGATAGAAAGCAGTAGAAGATATGAGACTGAGAGGGGGGGGGGGATATGACGCAAGATTGCTATTAAGATTAGTGCTCTTATTATTTTAATAAATTTTGGAGGGGAATAGGAAGTAGTTATCATTTTGGTTTCCTAATTAGAGATAACGGAGGAGGGTGGGGAAGGGGGTTATAATTTTAGAAGGAGGTTATAGGGATTAATGAATTTCAAAAAATAAATAAAATAGATGAAAATCGGATAAGTAGTAAATAAAAATAGCGTAGATAACTATATTCCGATTATTTAAGATTAGACCTGAAGTATTTAGATAGAATTCTCTATTATATATTATTGTAAATTACATTTTATTATCTCTCTTAACCAAAAACAAATATCTTTTTTTAACAGTAAATAACCAATTATCTAAAATACAAATTGATATCAAAAAAATATAATGTTAATATGATATAAAAACGCTAATATAAAATAAAAATTATTTCACCGAAAGGTATAACAAACAAAATCAGATTATTTAACAAGACCAATGTCATCGTTTTCACGAGGAAAAAATGGAAGTAAACGCTAATTTACCATCTACTTCAAACACATTTTTTACTCCCATCCTTCTTAGATATTATGAAGGCAAATGGCTCAGGTCATCCCCCCTTCCCGGTTATAAAGGCACTGAAGAAAGTTAACTCTCTTCCAGAACAAACTTTTACATTTACTCAACAACCGTGGAAAAGCATTTTATACTATGTAAGCAATTAATTATTTTTAAACCATATAAAATACAAAATAATGGGAATAATATAATTAATTTTTTAAAGATGAAAATCCGTGATCTGCTTTTTCGGTTGTTGTTGTGAAAGTCAGAAGAAAATTATATTTTTATTTTCAAATATTATATAATTGGCCTTGGCCTTCTTTCTTCTAAGATTGATTTCTTCATATCATTTTTGAGCTATAGATTATTTTAAATATTAACAGTTCCTTTTAAATTAATTATTGCTTTTTAAAAAATGAGTGGAGATTTCACAAAAAAATGTTTCTTTAAATTGCCTTCAAAATATTTTTCTCTTTTTTTAAAAAATAGCTCATTTACCTCACCTAAACTTATTTTTAATTATCAACATATTCGTATGGTTTTCTATTTTCGATTCCCCAATATTATTTTTTGAGGTAATAAAACAATTACACCAAATATATTTATTATTGACGAGATACTTTCTTTTGCTTTATTATTAGAAAAAATTAGCTTTCCGGATGTATCATTTTTTTTATAAGGTAGTAAAAAATAATATTATCTTTTTAACATGGTAGAAATTAATTTAGTAATTTTAACAGATCTCAACTTACTCTTTAATAGAATTCACTTAATTTCTTAAAATTTATTGCTCTCAATTACGAATATATCTTTTTCAAATTAATTTGACTTGACAATTTTTTATATATTTTATTTAAAACCCATATGTATAAAATTTTTAACATTAAAACAAAAGAATGAATCACAAAAATTTATAGAAGAGAAAAATATCTATTAAAAAATAATTAATTTTAATTTTAATAATATTTTTCTTTTTTCACCAATCAAGAATATTATAATTATTTATTAATTATACAAGGCGATGACAGTCATATGAGTATAAAAATAATTTATTTTATTTAAGATTATTTTAAAGAAAAATGGCATAGGAAGCAATACTACCCTTGTTTATATAAACACTTTATCAAACACTGCTGAATAAACCATTAAAATATATCATCAACCGCCATGATAATTAAAATTGTTTTTTTTAAATCCACTTCCATATCCCCATATATAGAATAAATATTAACCAACACTAAATATTTAAATCCCCCATGAAAGCATTTGAACAAAAATCAAGCATAATTAATCTATAGTCCAGTTTTTAATATATTTAACATTACTATAAAAAATTTAATTTAATGAATCATACCAAACAGTACAGTAATATTTCCAGCTCAATAAACTGCTGTATATGAATTTATAAATTTTCTCGTTAAAAGTTTACCGAAATTTTTGACTATTGTAAAATAAACGTAAAATTTTGGTTAATTTAAAAAAAAATCAATTTGGTTGATTTAATTTTAGATTCAATTTTGTTGCAATTTATTGGCCGTGTCATGGAAAGAATATATTTTTTAAATAGGTTAAATTAAAGGAAAGAGAACATGCAAAAAAAGACTTGTTATACGTTTCAAGAAACACAAAGCATAACGAAAACCCAGTTTCTCTCTTAGTTTTATTTTAAGTTTTCAAGGTTCTTAAAATTTTAATAATAAAAAAGCATGTTCATAATCTACGATTATAAGTTTCACTCCAAGTATCAATTTATAAAGTTTTAAAATCAAATAATACTAAAACCAAGACCAGGCCCAAATAATACTAAAACCAAGACCATGCCCAAATATATTATAAAAACTAATAAATAATAATGTCTAAAATTAGATATCTGAGAAATTGATATTTTAAGCCCAGTCTCATCCAAGCCGTGCCATTTTTTTACATTTATGTTCAGTGAAATAAGATAAGTATTAAATTAAACAATCGTCGAAAACTTCTTTTTTTTCTTCAATAGATTAGATTTTTATTTAGGATATAAATTTACACTCCCAAAATTTGATTTCGGAATTTAAATCAAATTAATTAAAACGTAAGTCGAACAAAATTTACTTCATCCCGGAATAACAATAATAATAATAAAATTAATAAATAATAATAAGTAAACAATTGAACCGATAATAATAATAATATAATTAATAAATAATAATCATAATATGGAGCAATAATGATGATAAACAGCATAAACATGAACAAATAATGAGACAGATAATAATAATAACAAAATAATGATTACGAAATAAAGAATAATAAACAAATAACGTAAACCAATAATAATAATAACTGAATACCAATAAATAATGATAATCGACAACTAACTAACGCTACAAAATAAAAATAATCCTCGATTATTGAGACCAAGAATAGGTGTCATCAATATACAACATTTTCCTTCGATCTAGGACACGATATTTTGAGATCGACATACATAATTTAGAGAACAAAATAAAATTATTTAAACATGAAAGAAAGCGTTTGGGGGGGGGGGGAATCAAGTTTTATAAAAAAAATTGGATCAGCAGGTACATTACTATATGAAATCTTACACCAACAAATATTTACTATTTTGCTAGAAAGGTAACTAATAAAATAACTATATCTACTCCTTCCTTCTTTTGATAACTACATAGAGGTGGCCCCTAGATAACATGCATGGGATCTATATATTAATTTCATAATATAGGGAGGTAATCAAATGATGGCAAGTGATACTGGAATAAATGGATTTTTAATTAGCAACCTGGTAACTATTTTCTTTTATCCTGCAATTGTTTTTTCTTTATAATATAAAATTTCTATATATTGATTTAAAAAAATTATACACAATACATTAGTGAAAATTTGCAATGCACGCTTTAACTCCTTTGGAGAAGGTAATAAAATTTCGTGAAGTGATACAGAAATAAATAAATGTTTATTTAACACACCCTGATAATTTTTTTTATCTTTATAATATAAAGTTTCTATATATTGATTTTAAAAAAGATACGCAATATTTATAATAAAAATTTCCAAAAGAAATACAAAATAAAAAAAACGGTCACTCTATAAAAATTTATATTCTTACCCCTCTTCTCCTAAATAACAATTCTTCCATGCTAATTACTTTTATTATTTTGCCTTATCCCGCTCAATTCACATTGCTTCCGCGATAACCGTGGAAGAAGCCTACAGGCTTCAACTAATAAGTGAAATAATAATAAACCCAATTCGAAATTAAATCATTTTAAAAGTCGGAAAATCAAGCAATGAGATTTTAATACATTTACTGCTCGTATTTCAAATTTACCGAAATAGAGGCTAAATTAATCAAAATAACGAAATTCTAAAAATCCGGGGTTGAGCTTAAAAATCTTTCTGTAGTGCATATAAAAAATACAAATTTTAAATAATAATTATTTATTTTCTAAAAACAAAGATCGACAATTATTCCGCAGTAGATCAATTTTTCTATTACAATTTCGGTGATATATATTAATATTTTATATAATAATATTTCTTTGATTTAAATTAAATTTACATAAATAAAATCCTATTAAATAACTAAAGAACAAAATAAATATTATATTTCAACTTATATGCTTGTTTTTTTCCCGTATATTTCCGACTTTTGTGATAAATATGAAAAATAAATAAATAAAAATTTCAATATTTTCTTAACAAAAATATTTTAATTTATTGTCATCCACCCTACACCAATATAATACTGCCTAGACTGACAGTTCAGCCATTTAAATATGTGTCAATATAAATCAGCTGGTACAATTTTGTTTTTCTTTAAATAAATTTTTGTAATTTTTTATTATTTATAAAATTCCTATAAATGGCGTGCTATACTAACTAATTTGCATTTAACGATGCTTCAAAATGTATTTTAAATAAATGATGAGTCTAGGCATGTAATATAATGTCATTGTCCTAGACATAATCATCTTTTTGTCAATACCTATATTTATTTAAAAAATTACTGCACAATAATTTTACCATATTTTATTAAATTTCCTAAATATGTATTTTTATATTTATTAAATAATAATTTTTTATTTTCTCAGCTAAAACTATTCTTAAAAAGTAAGTACTGTGCTACTGCTAATGATTGATTTTATTCACAAATTTAACATTAAAATTTTACTTATTTAAATTTTTTTTAAAATAAAAATTGTGCCATTTCATACCAAATCACACGCCTCTAAATTTCTATTATTTCAGATAAAAAATTTATATAAATATTATAAATGTTATAATTAGGTTAGAAACGATATTTGAACATGCTGACTTTTATAGTATCGTATATTAGGAGTTAAAGGTGCAAAAAACGTCATTTTTACTTTTTTCAAATTACAAATATTTTTATTAATTAAAGACTAAATAAATTGAATTTAATTTGGCATATATGATTAAATAAAAGATTGATGATTAGGGGAAAAAAACATACATTTATGTTAACCAAATTTATTTTTAAAATGTAGGACTTTCAATTTATGTAAAAAATTTATATTCTATATTAACTGTCCTGTTTCCTTCAAATTTACGGGGCAAACGAAGTTTACAAAAATTAAAGCAAATATTGTCTTAAAAATATTGGGCTATATTTTAATACAGTTAAAAACCTTTTCCATAAATTTATAACATTTAATTTACATACTATTCATACAAATTTTAGAATTGAAAGGGGCGGCTAAAAATGTTTTTTTTGGCGATTTGGCATGGAATTGCTCAATTATGAATATTACTATGCTTCTATTCTTACCCATAGCAGCATATTATAGTTAAGTATCAACAGATAACTTAAAAATATAATCGAAAATAATAAAATAAAAATTAGATTTTTATTTTATTTTATATGGCAATTAGAGCCAGAAGAAAAATATAAAATTTTTATTGCAAGAATTAACCAAAAACCTTCCCTTCCTTGCAAAAGCTTTTTCAAACCTTAACTTTTTTTGGTGCTCAAAATTTTTTAAAGTTGTTTTTACGATAAATTAATTATAAACATAAAGAAAATATAATTAGTGCAAAATTGCATGTAAAAGTAAAATTTATTAATATCCTTACTATTTCTAAATTGCGATTAGAGACTCCATTAAATCATATCAATGCGGAACCATCTACAACAGTTCGGAAATAGATCCTATAGCCTTGGTTCTTCCCTCCCTAAAGACTATCTTTTGACCGCACCTCAAAAATTCTGGCTGTTTAGTGAACCTAAACCTAACCAACGCCCTATCACCGGTTCTTAGACATTCCAGGGACATTTCAAGGAGCGTCGCGGTTTGTCTAACGCTACCACAATGTACTTTTAAAAAATGTATTGGGAAATATCAATAGTTATATAAAAAATAAAAGGAAAGCGCTGTAGACAAAGAACTAAAGACATAGTCTAAAAGTTTATATGGGTGTTGCGCATGAAAGAATGGTTTATACAAAAAAATAAATTATCACCATACATAACAAATAGAAATAGAGCTAATTTATTATTTTTTTAAAAAAATATATTTTTTGAATATAAAACTTAAATTTTCCTGAAAAAAATGAAAGAATAATGTTTGGTAACGAAATAAATATGAAATTCTAAGAGAAAAACTAACTACGTATAGAATTAAATTTAAAAATGTTATAAAATTGTAAAATATTAATTCAAAATTTTCGACAATTTAAATTTCATTGATATAGTTGGATGAAAATGTTTTAGTAAAATATGTTTTAGAAATCTAGAAAGTAAAAAAAATTTTCCAAATTTCGTATCATTTTATTTTTCATAATTTTACCATTAAATCACATTTTTTTTAAAACCATTTTTATTAATATTTAGATAAGTTTAAAAAAAATCCTTATCCTATCTTTGTAAAATATCTTGATATTAGTATATAAAAATCTAAATGGTTATTTTGTTGATCGATTTATACTTATTTATGAAAGTTAACCATAATTATATTAGTAAATATTGGAGTTGTTCGAGTAATAATTCAATTTTATCATTCAGCGGAAATATGGATAATTGAACTAAATAACCCCCAATCAAGAGAGGCATATTATATAATAGTAATTTAATTTTTTTACTCATGGCCTGATATTTTGGTTTTATTGTGGTCGGATGATGCAGTATAAGAACATTTGCGTTAAATTCCCAATAAGATTTTGGTTGAATGGCCGGGGAAACTAGCACCATACCTTTCCTAACGTCGTTTTTGCGAACCTAAAATTTATAAATAATTGATAAAAAAAAGGGCTTCGATGAGTTTCAATTTTTTTTAAATAAGGGAATTATGGATGAAAGATAAGAAAAAATAAAAAGAATAGAATAGGATTTTATATAAACTTTTGGTAAAACTAATTTATTTCAACTTAAACAAAGAAAATTCAGAGGAAGAATTCATTTAATCAGAGGAGAAAACTTACTCAACGGAACATAAAAATTTTAAATAAAAAAAAATGGAAGAAGAAAAAAATTTTTAAAAGAGAAATATTAGATATCTAATACCTTTTTAAGAGCCATGGAGGCAGACTGGCCAGCGCTGACCTTCTCAACGGGCATCCTTTTCCTATGGATGGACCTAATATTGACGGGGTTAAAATTACCGCTTCTGTCCGGGCCTAGAAGAAAGGTATCCCCAACTTTCATGATCCCGTTTATGCAAGTTCCAGACACAACCGTCCCTACACCCTTAAAATAGAATAAATATGTTGTATAAAAGTTAATTCTCATAAAGAAAGTTCACATTAAAAATCTTTAAAAAAATATAATATATTATATGGTACATTAAATAACCAAGGAATCAGAAAAGAAAGAGTTAAAACTGCTAAATTAAAAACCGAATAAAAATATTAGGATTAAAATAATTTTATGTCATTTACCTTTCTGTTATGATCCCTCTCGATGCTAAAAGATAGCCTCAACTTTAAAAAAATGTTTCGTATTTAAATATGGAAATTAGATAGATACTCAAATACTTACAGGGACTTGATAGTAATCGTCAATGAGAAGTTCAGCCGGTTTTTCTATGTCAAAATGCTCTCGTCTGGAGCAAGAAACTGAAGGGATAGAGGGGGTCAATAGGTTGAGGAAGCTTTTGAGTAAGTCTATATTTTGGCCTGTCACATTCGAGACCTGGAATATCGGGCATGTTCTAGCGAAATATGTTTATATAAAAACTTGCCTTATTAAAAAAAAATGCCAAATAAATAATCTTAGACTGTATTCACATATTTGTGCTGTGAAAGTTTAGAGAAATACAAAAAAATATATAAAGGATTTTTATTATTTGAAGTCTACAAATATTTTAAAAAATTTCATTGATAAATTCCGATACTCTTCGTAAAATTTGTTAGATGGACAGATAATACCAGCCCATTGCAGAACTGTAGTTTTATAAATATTTTTTTATTTCTTACCTTCTTTCTTTCCTTTAATTCTATTTTTTATGTAATAATAATTTAATTTCTCTTTTTTAAATCGTGTTAATTCCTATTTAATTTATATTTTTTTTAAAGCAAAGGTATTTCCAAAAATAATATAGAATGGATAAAATAGGCTTTCCCTTTTTTTATATAGAATTTCTGTTTTATATGAAAAAAGAAATTATGTTTAATTTTCGTTATCATTTATTTTACCCTCTTGAAATTTTATCCAGTCGAAAATTCTCAATAATTTATCCAAGCGTTAGTTTAAATTATTACTTGAATTTTTAAATTTTTGATATTTTATTTAAAAAAAGATAGTAATTGAAGAAAAAAAATTTCAAATTTTTATAAGATATTTTTTGTAGGGATTCAGCGTCAATAACTAAATGTAATTTGACAATTGGATGGAAATTTTTTCAAGATATCGTCAAAAATCAATAATATAGTGAAAACCAACATGTACTATCTGCGCAACTAAAAATAAAATCAAAATCATGAATGGAGAGATTTCATTCTCCAGCAATTTATTATATGCTCTGTAAAAAGGTTATATTAATTATATTGGCAATTATTACATAAATTAAGTGATGTGCTATGGTGCAACAAAAACTATATTATTTATAATGTTTAATTATTACTGCGAATATTTTAGAAATTTAAGTAAGAAAAATTGATAGCGTGGTATTAAAAAAATCGACTGGTAATAAAGTATTCTCGTCAAAATAATTATTTGCGCTAAATATCTCCGTCATTAAATAGCATTTGAAATTATTTTGTAGTTATTTAGTATTTCTATTTTAAATACACTTTTTCAAAAAAATTTGCCCAACCCTAAATAGAATAATATAATCCTTAAAATTGATAGACATGTAACAAAATTTTTTACAAAATATGGAGATGGAATATCCAAATTCTAATGCGACAATGTTAGTGGTTGTTATACATTTTTTATAAGAGCTATAACTTTAAATGTAGTGTATGTTAAATTAAATTTTAAAGGAGAGGATATAGGAAAAAAATAACTTCAAACGAGGGATGTGAACCCTTCGACTAAAAAAAGGGTCCAGGTCCGGATAGAGGAATAAAATTTAAAAAGGACCCGGGTCCAGGTTCAGAGAACATAGAATAATGACTCAAAATAAGATTTTTTTTCATTCATTTATTATTATACTTCAATATATACATATTCATAATTTATAAATGTAATTTATATTTAAATGTTTTATTCAATCGCACAATGATAATATCTTCTAAAATATCATCCTTGAAATTTCAACGTAATTAGACAATATATATTTCAAAATGAAAATTCACGTTCTACCCTTACGTAAAAAAGATAGTTATCTTTATAAAATTATTGTATTTGTGTCGCAGGTACAACCATGAAGATTCTAAATAAGATATATAATTCTGGATATATTGAAGAATTTTCTTCCAGAATTTTAAAATATTATATCCTTATTAATTCTCTTAATTTCTGAGAATTTTTCTATAAATATACAATAGGCATTTTTTGATCCTCCTTTCTATCTGATAATTTGATTTTTTTTTCTCTATCTAAAAGTAAAATTTCAAGATCATCAATGTTGCTATTATAATTGCTATTATCACTACAAGCAGTAGATATTGTCGTAACCTCCAATATATTGTAAATAATGGAGTTTTGCGTATGCCATAAATCCTTAAACAATACTCAATAAAACTTGATATCGAGGGTCTAAATATATAGAAGCGTATACAACACTATTTTGCAAATATTGTTGTTCTCGAATTTTCATGTTTTCTAATATTTCTTATAAAAAGGACTGTAAATCTTTTTAAATCTAACTTAAAGGAACTAATACACTAGTAAGGTCCTTTATTTGGCACCAATCAACTTCTGACAAAATGCTTTACATGCTCCTATAATAAAATCATTACAGAAATGTTTCAAACTTAATAATCGTTCTAGCATCATACAAATTGAGGACCAACGTACTATGCATTATCATTTAAATTAAAATATATTACTTGCACTACAAAATAATCAACATATTTCTATAATATAGCATATTAATAAATTTACATAATAAAATATTATTACCTACAATAGAAAATAATTTATGAAATATCAATCTCTAAATTAAATTGGAGTCCAAGAAGAAAATTGAAAAAAAAATGCGAAGATACACAAAAAAAGTTAATAAAATTTAAAAAAAATTATATTATTTTTTAAAAAAATATTTTTATTTAAAAAATTTTTTATGACACCTAGAACCCTTGGACCCTCTACTTTTAAAAAGTGTCCGGGTACAGCCAAAATACGAGGGTTCAGGGTCCGGGTTCAGATCCCTGCTTCAAATTAGTTATATGCAGGTGGTATTAAATGTAATTTTTTTCTAAAATCTAACTATAACATTTTTCTCTCATTTTACTATTCCAACTCACTCAGTGGCGTGACTACTAGATGTGATTCCGGGTCAGGACATTCCCTAATCCCAAAATGTTTGCATATTATGTTGTCCTCGTATCCTTTCTTTCTTTTTTTAACAAGGTATATCGAAATATAGATTTTTTTATATCCCTTTAATTTAATTAGCTTTTAGATTATCAATAATTTTTATACCCAAATAAAACACAAAATTGTGGTAAAATCAAGCTATTTGTTTTTAAACTACCTTTGAGATACAAAGTCCGAAACTTTGACAACATCTTCATTCGAGTTAACAAAGATAGGAATTTTACGGCAACCTGCCGATTTAAGTACTTTAGCTACCAGCTTCACGTTATCGGCCAAAACATTAGCTGGACACATGTCCGTTTTAGTCAGCACTACGAACACTGGCATATTCAAAGCCAGGGCAAGGCCCAAGTGTTCTTTAGTCATACCTACTATCCCGGCATTAGCACCTATCTAATTAATAAGATGAATAAAAAATTCCATTTATAATATCTGAAATTATGTGAGTCAAAGTCAATTAGAATCTGTCATTAACATGTCAGGCATAGAGCTATTTTAAAAAAAACTAAAATTAATATCTAATTCACATATGTCTAATTGTAAATTATATCAAAACTATCAATAATTATTTAAAAAATATTATTCTTTTACTTTAGAATATTTATATATCATACAAAAAGAATAAACATTTTCTTATTACTAATTAATTAAAAATATGTAAATGCGTAATCTACCATAAGCATAACGAAATCTGGATAATGGCCTGTCATTCCAAAAATGGTCGTCTTTAGGTATTTTTCATGACCCGCTAAATCGATGAACGTTATCACCTAATTTTGCGTTTATTTTCGTAATTGCGAATTTTTTTTAAAATGATTTATTCAAGTAAATAGCATATTATTATCTTGCATGTAAAGTATCATTTCCATTTCCAACATAAATTGTATCACAAACCTGTAAAGTTTCCATTTTAAATTCATTTACTCATTTAAAGATTTCCATTAAGTTTTAATGATACTTAAGGAGGTAAAATTCTATATAAATAAAATCGAATAAATTATATTAATCATCTTAAAATAATGCAACGAAATCTCAGCCCAATCTCATAAAGTCGGTAGCCATAGTATGAAGAATGACGTGATGTCGCCAATTAGTAAAATAGTGTTGTGACTAATTTAATTTAACTCTTGCAATAAAAAGTGGCCCATTTATCAAGATAAATTTTTTTTTAAAGTTTTGCCCCCCCCCTCTCTCTTCCACTTGCCATAGGGCAGGTATTAGCTCAAACGTAAAAAAGATGAGATTTTTTTTTAAATTGATCAATCATAATATATTTTGCTGAATAATTATATTGGATAGAAAATCAAGCCTTAAAAAACAAAAATAATTATTGATCTATTTATAATTTAATAACCTTAGCGGAATTCTGGCAAATCCTTTTCCAATCGATATGCCCGTTGTGAGCTTCCATTTGGTTGACTATGTTTCCTTTGCTATCGAAACCCAAAATATCGTTACCCACGCTACTGGTTCGGCCTAAATAAAAATAAGGTTAAGTGAGTAAATCACCAGTAATGTATTTCTCTTTTTTTAATTCCTCTTCCATCCTTTTATAAATTTAATTTATGATATAAAATGAATTGATCAAGTAATATACGAATTAACCTGCCAAGGTTCATAAAATAAAATATTAAACAACCTGGCCCGGTATAAAATAATAAAAATGATCACCACGAACCGAGTGATTTCAAAATAATGAAATATTCATATTTAAAAGGTGTAACTTTTATAATAAATTATTTGGTATTATAAAAAAAATGATCAGAAGAAGAAAAAAATTAAAATGGCGTCGCTAATTTGTCCTAAAATGTGTTTCCAACAGTTACGAATAAATAATGAGTAGTGATACGAGGATCGAATCAAAATAACCGCGCAGTGCTTCACACATCGATTGCCGGAAAAAATTAAAGAATAACAAGATGTTACAAATCAAGAATATATTTAAATATTTTAAAATCCCTTATTAACTTCTTTTAGGGTTTCAACTTTGGAAAAACTTGCAACAAAGCTACTTTTTTTTACAAAAAACAAGAGTTCTGCTTAAAGAATGTTAGATTCATACGTTAAGGATAGATGATCTTAAATCTAGTAAAAGTTTAATAAAAAAGATCTAAAAAATCAAAATTTAAAAAAAAAATCAATTTATTTTAAATTACTAACCCGATTCGATTTCGTGTTTATGTCTGAACAATTTTTGCCTCGAATGCCCTCGCCCATTATCGAGATCCCCATGGGTCAAGACCCCAAGTAGGGTACTCTTGCCTGCGTCTACGTTCCCTACCACCGCAATCCTATTTATAAATAAATATTTTTTATAGCTTATGAACAAAAATGAATGTATGATATAAAAAATAAATAAATCAAGAACTTGTAAGATGATGGTCACATTATACAAGGTTAAACAAAAAATAAACAATGTGCCCCGAATTGAGAAAAAAACAAAAGACAAGCTTATTATACCACGTGTTATTTAATTGGTATTTTGTAATACCAAGAAAAAGAATGCAATTTCTTTTATCCCGAAGCTTGGAAATCTATACTAATATTAAAAGTATAAAAATACGGTATTCCCGGCGCTAGATCTTACAGATCAAAGAGAGTCGATTTTAGGAAATGGTCGGTTCATAAAATGATTTTTTTTCCCTATAATCCGGATAATCTTTTAGATTAATTTAGAGTTGCGTAATCGACTAATTTTAGCCAACTCCAAAATGGCATAGCCGAGTTCTAAAAATCGGAAAAACCTAGTTAGAGTCAGATTAAGGAGCTAAGCTAATAGTCAGTTAGCGTTACTTAAAAAATAAAAAAATTAATTAAAGGCTAGGTAGTGTTGCGTGACGCTGATGGACGATTAGCAGGTACATAATTTTTGACTAATTCGTTTTAAAAGATTTTTAGGCTAAGCCAAATTAGGCCTAGGCGAAGTTGGCTGATTATGCAACATTGTTCTTTTGTTTTAAAATGAAAAAAAATAAAATCATATATTTAGCCAACCCTCTCTATATTATCATAAAAATATTTAGGCAATTATCCTAAAAAATATTTCCTCCGAATATATACAGAGATATTCTAAAGTTATTCAAATAAAATAAAAAGGTTTATGATTTATTTCATCTTTAATTTTCTTAAATTTCCACCCCACTCCCCTGGCCAATTTTACTAATTTCCACTTTTAGTTTCACGATAAAAATTCCTGAGAAAATTTATCATATTTAAACAAGAAATCTAAGCAGCAGGCGATACGAACCCCCTGCAGATATTTCTGATATATGAAGACATCACGTATTTAATATAATTTTTTTAAATAATATTAATTTAGGTCAGATGAGGATATATTGATAAGAAATTGTATAACAATAACATCGTGAATTTCATTTTCGTTCATTTTAAAAAATAAAATTAGGAATAATCATTTTTGTTTTTATTTACCAATTTGGAATGGATTGATAAATTTTATAAATATGGATGATTTGGCGTCAATAAAATTTTAATAAATTTATTTATTTTTAAAAAAAAAAAAGTTTGGCATTATAAGAAAGTGTTTTATAAGGTTTGATTGAAGTATAAAAAAAACCGCTATAACCATTATCCCGTTATGAATTTTTAATAAGTATTTGCATCTGTCTATTATAATAATAGGTTGGTACAGCTAGACCTAACTTCGACGGCGGGAAAACATGGGGAAGGGGGAAGAATAATCATTTTCCAGTATACATTTAAGAAAATTTAAAGAAGCCATCACTAAAAAAATCATATATAAATTTTTAGGGAAATAAAGATATTTCTTTGGTCTTATTAACATCAAAATATAAATTTTTTTTAATATGTAAAACGGTATAGAAAGGTAATTCAAGGATTTTTTTTGAAAAAATTTGCACTTTCTCATTAAGGGCGAATTTATAGAAAAAGCGTGATGCTCAAGAGGTGCGTTATTTACAAAATTAAGCCAATTTGGTATAATTTATAAATATGGAGCGTTATGATGATAACGCTATGATAAAATTTGAAAAAGATATGTTGGTATGCGATAATAAAAAATGCAATACGATTATAAAAATGATAGCAAAACTCAATTATAGTTTTTATTAACAATTTTTTAAAAAGCAGAAGATTATTTTTATTAAATATTTGTAATAAAGCAGAAGATATATTTTATTAAATATTGCTATAATGAATCAGCTTTGATTTCGATAGAATTATAGTTGATTCCGTTTTAAAAACTAATTTAAGAGCTAAAATAGAAATAATTATTTTATATAATATTTAAGAAAATCATATGACTTTTTACGAATTCGTATATTATATTTATAATCGTATGGCGTATTTTTTATCAGCGCACCGTAATATATGTATTTCAAATTATAGCGTTATCAATAAAACTCATATTAAATTTATACCTATTAATTGGTTTGATTTTGAATAACACTGCATTAAATAAGGCAACGCACATAAACCGTTTGCTATAAATTAGGCCTAAGAGTTAAAAATAAGAGGGGGGGGATCAAATTCCACCCTGCCTGCTCATGTTGACAGAAAAAACTCATGCTCTTTCATGCCCGATGCTCAACATTTTTAACCCTACAGACATCATCTTGAACAAGAATGAAAAATTCACGGTACGGTATATTTAATTTCTTTCTGAATGAAATGCTACTATTTTTATGCTTTTTTAAAATTATTAAACAAACAATTTAATTACCATTTATAAATCAAATTTTTTATTTAAAAAAAAAGAAGAATGTTCAAATTTTTAAAATTTAAGTGTGTTCGATGTTCCATAAACGCCTTGGCTATAATCTTTCACTAGAGGCCAAACTTAAAGAGGCGGATAAAACTTTACTCGCTAATTTTTTTAAATGAACTCTTCAAAATTTCAAAATATATTAATTTATTTGTTCTATAGCTCTGATGAATCTTTTTAGTACCTCCTCATAATTTTAACTGGTAGGTGTAGAGGCTGCATCAGAATCAGAAGAATATTCCTAAATGTTATTGTAGCATCGAATTTTAAAAAATTTAGCATTTGTAAAGTTGTTGAAAATATATCTGCCTTTTCAGCATCGGTTAAAAAATTTTTAATATTTGGATCTAAAAACAAACCTACATTACTGGCTGTATGATAAATATTTCTTTTATAAGAGATATTGCTTTATTTATTAGGATTTTCATTCTTATTATCACCTTCTGAGAGGTGAAATTTTTTTTTATTAATTATTGTTTCCATCTCGATAAATTATATTTATTGTGTGACGAGAATCTGCGTTAGATTATCCAAGCACTCTTTGAATATAGATAGAAAATTTCACGCATGCTTAATCAATGTCGCCAATGTTTTTAATTGGTATTAAGAAACTTTGTAACATGATATAAACAGGGTTCCATCTCATTGTTATATTTTTTATAAGAATGGCTCAGCATGCATAAAATATTGCACTAATTTTTTCAATCATTTATATTTGAAGCTATCTCGGATAAGAGCAATTTTTAAAAAGATATTTTAATTTAAATTTTTATAATTTGACCGTAAAAAAAATTCTTGCATATAAAATGCGATTTCATTAGTTTTCAAAAAAATTAACCACTTTTCTGAAAATTAAATTAAAGGAAATATATGATGTAATATATTACCAGATTGACGATTCATTTAAGTGCCTTTTTAAAAGTGTCCATAAATAGAAGTCCGCTGCAGCGCCATCATCACAACTGACTGCCATGTATGAACATTTTTAATTAATGAATAGTTAATCTGGTATTATATACATCATTGACTGGGATATGGAATCCAAAGGGATTCGGATCGATCTTAAACAATTTACTGAGGACGATTCTTAATTTTTTAAATCTGCTGATTTGAACGGAAATGCAAATCCAACTGTGAATTTCAAACAATTTTGCAGTAAACTTTACAACTACTCTTAATTTATATTAGCTTTTCTATAAATTATTAAAAAAATAAATAAACCAAAATTTTATGGCGAAAATTGTTGAAATTTTTAAAGTAGGTACTCTTCACATAGTGAAATACATGTCCGGTTAAATTTAAATTTTAAGAACTTTAAAAATCCACCTTGGCAAATGATTTAAAATTGAGAGGTTCCGAAATCCTAGTGGGTTCAAAATCTCGATACCACATTGTTATAATTATCGAAATTGAAAAAATTAAAATCCTGGTGATTCGTGGGAAATTTATAAACAGGCTCAATCACGCCCGGTGATAATTTAGGAAGCTCGTCAGGCCTAGATATTCAAAATTCATTCACTCACGTTGTGAGCCATGCCTATCTCTAATCCCAGGGAAGTTTAAATATTAGATAATATTACAATGGAAAATTTTGATTAATATGGTAAAATTCAAATCCAATACCTTGATTTTTTAGGATCTTATATAATAAATTTCATTGAGTTTTAACATCCCATCCTTATCATTAATATATATAATGCATTCAAAATTTTTAATTTGCATTCATTAATCTGTACAATTTTCTTGGAGATAGACAAAATGTCTATGGTAAAATTGTACATTGATAAAATGCCATTGAATTGTAAAAATATAATAAATATTATTAAAGTCTGATATTTATAAGGTTTTATCTGTATATGACATATATAAATGTTAATGAAATCTCTCCCCACAAAAAAGTCATAATATTTATTTTTCATATCGTAATAATATAACTTTAAATGTTCAAAATTTTAAGCATTTAGATTGAACAATATGATTAATTATACATACAAACCTTATATATAACATTACATTTTATAGAACACTTTAGATAACTAATTAATAAATAAAGGTCAATTCTAAATATTGAAGCTTATAGTAGTATTAAAAACAAAAACATCAATAATTTAACAAACAATATTTTATTGGCACAATATTTAAAATGAAAACTTAAAAATGACCTTTGATATATTTAAATTAAATAAAGTGATGACCTTTAATATTTTAAAATTAGATAAAGTAAAAATTCCTTTTATAATATATAATATTCTATTCATCATCTAATAAAAATGTGTGTACTTTTAATGGGAAATACAAATTTAAGTTACAAGATTTTATTAGTATTGCTGAATAGATTCAGCAATGTGATATTTAAATAGTTTAAAATTTTTCAAAATGGTCTAAAAAATATAACTATATGATTATTTAAATATAATGTCTCAATTACATCTGGGACTCCTGTGAATTAAAACTTTAGTAATTGAATTTGTAGTACTCATTTTTTTTATTGCATTTATATTTATATATTAAAAATCATATTATTTTTTATTATTATTTCAAATATACACATTGCAATGATCTATATGTAATGTAGCAATGTAACCTTTAATCCTTTTTTTTATAAATGTGCAAAACTTCTACTTAAACATAATTGGTTAAATATTTCAAATAATAAAAACAAAATATGAATATTGCTATTAATTGCTAGGTCAAGTCAACACTCCACGCATGTTTTGACGATTTAGTTGTAAATTAGCCTGAATTAACTCCCATTATTCAAGTTTACAATTAAATTTTCTAAATGAGTTGGGCTGCTTGGTTTAATCCATGTATTTAATAGCAATCACATTATACTTGTTTTGATATTAAACCAATTTTTGATAAAGTATAAGTTTTATATATTTAATAAAATTATATTGGTTATAAAGGATCTAAGTTATAAAATTGATCAAACAATATTTTTACTTTGCTAATATTCAATGAAACAAAAAAGTTTTAAAATGGACAAAAATTGAAATAAATGGAATAAAAGATAACTTATTAAATATAAACATATTGTATTGATTATCTTGATCACTTCTAAAAGTATTAAAATGTTTTTAATGGATCGAACCTATGTATAGGACTTTGTTGGGGATGTGTATTTAGTCATTCAAAAAGTTTTTTATTTACCAGTTTTTTAAATCAAAAATAACATTTTCTATAACATCTCGATAAGCTAAACATGTAATTTTTTTAAAATTTGAACCCTTTTAATATTTGTAGTGAAGGGATGCTTAGTTTAGTCAAAAAATTGATATTTTTTTTAAATTAATGTTAGCATTTTCTGAATCTTTTCAAAGAACTAAACATATATTAATTTATCTCTAGAGCCTTTTAATAGGGGTAGCATAGGGATCCATAATTTGGTCAAAAAAAGTGTGTTTTGTCATAAAAAAATTTTAAAAACTAATATTAACATTTTTTGAATCTTTTTAAAGTTATAATTAAAATTCTGTGTTTCTTATTTAAAAAATAGAGCAGAATTAACAAGGATGTGTATTTTAGTCATTTAAAAAAAATATTTTAATTTCATTAATTTATCAGTTTTTTTTTTAAATTTAAAAAATTTTTTTCTAGATCAATCAATACACTAAACACGATTCTATATTAATATTGTTAAATTTGTGGTTATATAATAGGTAGGGCTGTGCCGATATTAAATATCGGATTGGATTGGCTTAAATTAGGGTTTTTCAAAAATATCGGATTGGGCTGATACCTGTAAAAAACTGCTCCGATTCAATCATTTTACTTATCTTTTTTTTAATTTTATTTTTATTTTTTTACATTAATATTTTCAAAATAATCAAAACACCCAAAGTTTTATTTATTTTAAATCTTTTTAAATAATAATGCCAATTTTATTTATACTTTAAATAAAAGAATTTTTTTAAATATGGTATATGAATTATGGAAATATTTTACAAAAGACAAAGATAATTTTGCAAAATGCTTTATCTGCAGAATTTTACTGGGAGGAATAATGAAATTTTTTTTAATACTAACAATATCCGTAAACTTTTTTTAATTATTGTAGAAATAAAAAAATTAAATTAAATTCATAATTCAATTTTTTGCATAAAAAATATTGATTTCTTAATTACATTTGGTTCAAAGTGAAAGGGGGGTTATTGAAAAATCAATATAAATATCAGATTGGTTTTGAACCAATATCGGATTGGATTGGTAAAAAAAATATATGGATCGACACAGCCCTAATAATAGGGGTAGCATAGTTTCTGGGTTAGTATTTTAGTCAAACCCATATTTTTTTTATCATATTCATCAAATTTTTATATTAAACTAAGATTTATTTAAAATATTTTGTGTTTCCTGAACATTTAAAAAAAAGTGATTAAACAAAATCTTTCAGTGAGAACAACGATTAATAAATAATTTATAAAGTAATCTACAATGTAATTAGTTACTGATAACAGCATTAGATTTTATATATTATTTGTATGTCCTTCTAAATTTATAAATAATATTTAATCGAAACAATACCTAACTTCCAAAAAGTCATTTGGCAAAACTCTTTTTCTAATTAAATAATCTTCCACAGCTCCATCTTCTGATTGTCTTCTTCGTAAAAATGTGAGATCTGATTCACAATGATTTGTAATATTACTAAGAGTAGTCCTTGATTTTTCTAACTGCTGAATATTTAACCCTGGTTTTTCATTAGAATCTTGAATTAAATGTATATATAGGTTTATAATTTAGCTCATTAGAACTTTGAATTAGATATATCCTCATGATTATATTATAAGTAAATATTAATTATTTGATACTTGAAATTCCTAAAGAATAACGAATTTCCCCAAGTCCTTTCTCTAAACGAATAGATAAATCTTTTCTTAAATGATTTAACAATTGTTCATTTGGTTCTAAAAGACACAGCTTATTAAATAAATAATATTTACCATTATTAATGTTTAAGGTTATACTTTTGAATTTTCATTAATACCAGTTTGAGATGTATTAATATATGAATTTAAGTTATTGTTCAAGGGTCTTTCATTTTCCTTATTTGGAGAAAATAGAAATGAATTAAATTGGGCATAATTAGATATATTTTCTTGCATATTTAACGTTGTGGTTGGGATAATCCCGTTTTTTGTAATCGACATAATAATGAATCAATATTTGTCTCAAAATTTGTATCAATAGGATAGATGATATAAAATCACCTGGGTCTAGGTGATGCAAAATAATATAAATAACCAAATCTAACTATATAATTGGATTTTTTTCTTCTCGGGTTACCGTTGCAAGTGAATAATTCGTAAGTCACCATCTTATCAGTTTTTATTTTTATTTGAACTATGTTTTTCTATGTACTCATTACTGCTTCACAATGTTAATTAACAGTTTTAACCTAGTCAAAAATAGTGTGTTTAAAATATCTAATTTTGGTCAAATTTTAAAATGAATTGATTGATATTTTAGCCAAAATGTTAACATATAAGCCTGGGGATTTTTCTTATAGATGGCAAAAAGATTTGAACTTATTTGCCAAGCCAATAGGCTTGCATAATATTATTTTTGGATAAATTTTAAATCTGGCCGTTTTTAAAATTCGACCTAAAGTGGTATTTATAATAACATTATTCAAAACATCTTGTAATCAACCCTTTATTTAATCGGTCATGAGCTTTTAATCTCTCTTTTCCTAAGGACGATTAAGTGGCTTCGCTTCTTGCGTGTCTAGCTACATCAGACTTTCTAAAACATGTAGATTTACTCTCACTATTACCCTTAATTGTTTCCCGTTACATGGTTTTTATCAACCCACGGCAAAAGCTGTTTGACCTTTTACTTTTATAGCTATGGAGGCTAATCAATTATAACTAAGGAAGAGTAATTTTTAAAAGTTTTATTTTCATATTATACATAAAAATTCTTTAAAAATCACAATTTATAATAAAATATAAGTCAATTCTTTTCAAAGTATTTTTTTAAGATATCAAATTTTGCAGTTTGCTGTCAATCATTTATTCTGGATCTATATTGACAAACTAGGAATGGAAACACCACTTTCTCGTAAAAGGTTTAAAAGATTTTTATTATATTATCTGGCTCAACTTAAACCTTATATAGAGTTCTTAATACTCGTATAACCAAATTTAATGAATTTATTAAGGAAGAGGATAATGCATAGATTTGGATGAGAAATTCTTATATTTATATTAGTTTTTGTTTAGGTTAAAAAAAAATATTGTGTCATGCCGCTATCATCCTGAAGCATTGTTAGTTGAAGATTATAGAGCTGGAGATATGGTATGCTCAGAATGTGGTTTGGTTGTTGGAGATAGGTAATAAATTCTTTGCTATATATATTTGAAAATGATTATTTGTGATATTAACATTTTTATTGAAAACATATGCTTTCATTCTAAAATTTTTTAAATATTTTATGTGTATAATGTACAGAATAGTTGATGTAGGAAGTGAATGGAGGACATTTAATAATGAAAAATGTGTTAGTGATCAATCCAGAGTTGGAGATGCAGAAGTAATATTTATTAAACCTAAATGTTATTCATTTATTAAATATCCTTCTGTATCAACCCATCTAAATTATAGTGGATTGATTTATTTGTATCAATACATTATCATTTTATTTTTTATTGGATCTAGATTTTACAATAGTACTGGGTTAAACATCTAACATTCTTGCCAGTTCCTACTAGCCAGATCTTAAACAGAATTTTTAATGAGTGCCTGATTCCATTTTTTTTTAAATTTTAGTCTTATGTCAGCCCAATCACATTGAATCCATGACACCATCATTAAAATATAGGCTCTTGACCCAAAAAATATTTAGTTAAGGTATACAAATATTTTTTATTGAACCAGTCTGATATTCCACTCATCTTAAAATATTGATTATTGGCTGATATAAAATTTATGGGCATGACTAAAATACAAGTCCCCAAAAACTACGCATCTCCGGTCAAATGGGTTTAATTTATATAATATTAATAAAAAATCTTATTTAGCTTTATAAGATGAGTTAAAAATGTTTTTTATGATTTAAAAAAAATGATCTTAGTAAATTTTTTAAAAAATTATTTTTTTACATCAGAAAACTATGCGTCCCTGGTCAAGATACATTTTTTTTGAAAAATAAAAGCAGACTCATATTGAGCTCATTAAATGAATATAGAAAATGTTATTTATGATTTTTAAAAAAAATGATAACTTAGTAAAATTTTTAAAAAATTATTTTTTTAAATTAAAAACTACGTGTCCCCAGTCAAGATACATTTTTTTTAAAAAAATACAAGCAGATTCATATTTAGCTCATTAAATGGATATAGAAAATGTTTTTTTTTGATTTAAAAAAAAAGTGATAACTTAGTAAAATTTTTAAAATACTAATTTTTTACATAAAAAAACTATGCATTCCCGGTCAAGATACATTTTTTTAAAAAAAAATAAAAGCAGATTCATATTTAGTTCATTAAATGGATACAGAAAATGTTTTTTTTTTTGATTTAAAAAAAAAGTGATAACTTAGTAAAATTTTGAAAAAACACTTTTTTTCTTCATTTTTTGACTAAAATACGCGTCCCCGGTCAAGATAGATTATTTTAATAAAAATGAATATAGAATCGTGTATAGTTTTTCAAGGAGATTCCATGAATCTGCTTTTATTTTAAAATAAAAATGTATCTTGACCGGGGACGCGTAGTTTTTAATTTTAAAAAATAATTTTTTAAAAATTTTATCATTTTTTTTTAAATCATAAAAAACATTTTCTATATTCATTTAATGAGCTAAATATAAATCTGCTTTTATTTTTTTTAAAAAAAATGTATCTTGACCTGGGACGCGTAGTTTTTTGATGTAAAAAAATCACTTTTTTTAACTCATCTTATAAAGCTAAATAAGATTTTTTATTAATATTATATAAATTATCCCCGTATGACCGGGGACGCGTATAGACGCGTTAGTCATGTCCAAAATTTACTGATCCAATCTGATAAAATGGTGTCTTAATATTAATTAATATTTTCAAATTTCTTGATATATTTATTTATTACTTATTATGTACTTTTAGATTCATGAATATTAACTATAACTGATTATTATAATATGTTTAAATGACTCATCTTATGGTATTAGTTAAGTTATAGATGTCATACTATTAAAAATTATGTATTGATAGGCCATATCATGTCAAATCAAGCAGATTTGACAGATTCCTTTTATAATTGTAAAAATATTTCTGGAATTATTTAGATAGGTAAAAATGAGAAAGCATTTATTTTAGCTCACTAGCACACCTGGTTCTTGAAATATTGGGGCTTATAAGTGCAAAAAGAGCCACTTAAGAATGTGTAAAATTTCTAAAATGCTTATATCTCAAAAACTATTTATAATAAAAAAATATATCATATTCTAGGTAAAAAAATTCTCTAAAGGTTTATCAAAAAATAAAAAAAATTGGCACCAATTTTAATCTTTTACTTCCGGTTTACTTATGTTGCTTTACCTGTGTTTTTAAATGATAAAGGGAATTTGTTTTATAAAATTTTTTGACTTTTATTTAGACACCACTTGAACATGGTTTTTTTTGGTCAGCTGAATTAACTGGTTTCTATCCATAACATACCTTGAGGTTCTATTATCTTTATTGATCTACATTATAATTTCATGAGCCAGTATTTCCTTCTTCCGTGGATTGCATATATTGGTGGTTGCAGGGTTAATGCATACGCTGGAACACCACAATCGTCAATGAGATGATTTTACAAATGGTATCTCTATAACATTGCCTTGCTTTAACATATGTCTTAGTTGGCATTGAATATTTTGTTATTTTTCGTTTTTTTGCAATTCCCAATATGTTAGATACCCTTCTAGGTTTTTTGGAATGGTATTTATTTGTAAATAAAATGACCATAGTCCAATAAAGGAAGGTCATCACTGTACATTTAAAAAAAAATATTATACAACATTTTTTTTATGATAAAACAAATAACTATACAAATGAGTGGCCACTTTGACACATGTGTATATAACATACCATAGAGGCCCTTCCATTGAAACATTAAATAAAATTTAAAATAAGAAACTTTAAACAAACCATTTTCTCTCTTTTGTTTTTATTTTATATAATTAATTATTTGACATAGTGTTGTTAATTTTATGCTCAGGCCTGCTCTGATCACGAACCTGAAAAATATTTAGAAAAAATATAGAAACAGCAAATTCAATGGCATTTTCTGAGGTTAGATAGTAAAGCCCTGCAGGCACCTAAACTTAGGGTTAAAAAAATTTTAATCGGGGTCCACCTATGGGCTTAGAGACACCAAAAAAATAGGATTAAAATGAGTTTTGATGTTGGTTGCCCGAAGATTATTTCCGGTTATACCATCCTAGTTCAGAATTAGATACGAACTTTCTGACAGTATTTGTTTAATTTCATTCGCTATTTTTTAAAATCATATAGATTTTATTCCTTATTTTTTTGATAACATTAATTCGTAAATGGGCAAGATTGAGCTTGAATGGGATATTTAGAATACTTTTGGATCGTTTTTATTTATTTATTTGGGGGGTGGGGGGGGGTGGTTATAAGTTAGCCTCTTTTTGTCCTGCCTATTCTGAAGTCAAAATATAGAAAATCTTCAATTTACACTTTTTGTAAAATTTGTATAATTTCTATTATTGGGTAATGGTTAAATACAAGCTAACTCGGATCATTCTTCAGGTGCTAGCAAGAAAATTCGTTAACATTGAGGCGTTTTAATTTATATTAATTTTTTCAAATTTGAGCCTTTAACTAACCCTGAAAGCCAGAGTGGTAGTTTTAGGCTAAAACACTTGGTCTAACCATTTTTAGTCCTAAAAATATATTTGGTTTGAAGAAGTTTAAAATTAAAATTGTTGTAAAAATAAATTTTTTTAAAAATTAATGTTTTTATTAATATTTTTTTAGTTTTTAAAAGTAAATGTGTTATTTTAATTATTTTTGTAAACAAATTATTTTTATCTGAATATGTTTTATTCAAAATTTATAGAATACAAAATTAAATATGATATTGGATTGTTATCTGCCCGTATCATGGATTTGTCTCCAAAAGTGCTATTGGTACCCCCCCCCCCTAATTTGGGGCTGCACCACACCGATATTAGACTTTTAGGAAATATATTGGATCAGCCAATATTTTTTAAAAATTTAACCGATTCCAATTTTATACATATTTTTATTCACAGTTTTATTTATTTTTAAATAATTTTCCTTTCTGGTAATAAATTTATGACTATAAAAAGCATGAAAGAAGGAAACCACTTATAAAATAAAAATGCTGTTTTTTTTACATTTTTTTAGCTAGAAGAATTAAAGTATATTGATAAACGAATATAAAAATTATCCAACATGTTTGAATATTTTTATTTGTCTTATAGTTTATTGTTTTTAACCAAAGAACTTATATAGATTATTAGCTTTGATATAACTTTATTTTTGAAATCTTTAAATTTTTTATAAGTTTTCTTTAAGAGCTATAACTTATCAGGGTATGTTATTATTGACAAAAAAATCATTTTAAATATCCATATCGGTGTTGTTTGAAATATATATTAGCAAATAATAGATTGGATTGAAGAAAAAATATGGATCGGTGCAGTCCTATTATATTTCCCCTTCATATTCTTGCTTAAGTGAACATAAAAATTATTAAGAATTTTTTTTTTAAATATATGTAAATTCTAAAAAAAATCAGGAGATGGGAGATATTTCATATCATATTTTGTAAATGCAAAAATATTAAATGATCAATTGAAATTTGAATTCAATAACTTTAAAATCAGAGATTTGCAGGCTCGGATTTAAAAAAATAATTTGCCCCGGTCCGGATTTTCTTTTTTATAAAAATGTTCTGCCCTGCCTTGCCCGGGTTTTTTATTTTCAGGCCCGGCCCAAATTTTTTTAATTTATATAGATAATGGCATTTTAAACATTTAGCCCAGGTATTTAAAAAAAAATTTTTTAGGCCCGGATCTGGTATATTTTAAAAAAATTAAAATATGGCGCGGCGCATTAACCCGGGCTTCAGGTCTCTGATTAAAATAGATAATAAAATGACTTTTTTAGCTTTTAATACAGCGAGTGCAGGCCAAGAAAAGATTTTGCATATCTATACATTCAAGCCCTACTTGGCTCTTTTAATGAATAGGAAATTTAAAATACCTGCCTTGTTTATATTGTTTTAGATGAAGAACCCATGTTTAGGAATAAATTTCAAAATTACCATATTTTATTTACCAATCATAAAGCGATGAAATAAATACTGATTATACTAATTTATTTTGTCAAATATATATATCTAGAATCCATTGCTAGATGGAGGTGATCTATCCACCATGATAGGTCCATCATCCTCTTCCGCTTCTTTCACAGAATTTGGGACAGTAAAATATGGAAACAACCGGAGAATCATCAGTAGTTCCGATAGAATTCTTATCAATGCTTTCAGGGAAATCAGGAATATGGCCGATCGAATTAATCTGCCATCTTCATTAGTGGTAATATTTATTTTTCTCTTTTTATTAAAATATATGAAAGAAAGTATTAAAACTAGAAAAGAAGGGGAAAAATATAGAAATGCTATAGCAATAAAAAAAATCATATAGTAAAAGAGTAATGATTCATCATTAAAGGATAGGGCCGACGCTTTATTTAAACAAGTTCACGAAGGACAAGGGCTTAGAGGTAGGAGTAACGATTCCAAAGCTGCTGCCTGTTTGTATATTGCTTGTAGGCAAGAAGGTGTCCCTAGAACTTTTAAAGGTTAAAATAAATCTATTTTTACTTATGATTTTTTTTCCCCAAGATTGTAGGAAATTTGTCTCTACTTTTTTTCTAAACTATTTATTCATGAATGATTTACTTTATAAAAATATATATAAGTTCAGCAGTTTGATATACCTCTGGGCATCTTCTTTATCATTTAATAAAGAAAATATAAATCGCATCTACAATCTTACTTGAATACTTTTTCAAAATGTTTACTCAAGATATTTTTGATAAATAGCCTCATATTAGAATTTATGATATTTTAAAAACTGCTGTCATAAATTATTTTATAAATATTATTTATTAAGAAAACCAGTGAGTAGGGTGGATTTGTAGATTTATCTCATCATTTGGGAGGTGGGGGGATTTCTAATTTTCTTTGAGATAATAGGGTACTTTTTAAATTGATATAATCAAAAATTAGTTTAAAATATTTTTTTGCATCCCAAAGAAATTTGTGCTACCAGTCAAGTGTCCAAAAAGGAGATAGGTAGAAGTTTTAAATTGATTCTCAAACAATTGGAAACCAGTGTTGATTTGATAACGACAGGAGATTTTATGGTTTAGAATATTTTTTATATTATATTTCTTTTCCTTTCTATAACTATATTTTATTTTAATTTTTAAAGTTTGATTGGTATTTTCATGTATTTTTTTAATTCTATTCGATTTAAATACATTAGGTTTCACAAGATTTTACCCACTCAATTCTATCTACATATTTATTTTAAAATCTATTTATGAAATTATTATATTAGATTAAGGCCCAAGAAATTTCTTTTAGTTACTGTACCGAATCATATAAACAATCTATATTTTTTATGATTATTGTAATATTAAAAACATATGTAATGATTTTAGAGTCGCTTTTGTTCCAACCTTGGCCTTCCACTCAAAGTTCAGAAAATGGCCACTTGTATAGCCAGGAGAGCTGTTGAATTCGATCTTGTTCCTGGGTATACATTTTTTTATGTATAATCTTCGTGACTATATTATATAAAAATGTTTATTTTCATAAATCGAATTATAAGCATGCCTTCTTTTATTTTAACAAATTTGATAAAGAATCTAAGAAAATAATTCCAGGAGAAGAATTCCCTGATATTTCTACATAATTAATGTCATATATAATTGTATTAATTAAGATTTAATTTTTTTTAAGAGATTAATAATATTTTTAAATTGAAAATTATTTTAAGCTAAAAAATTAAGGGTGGTTGCATGTCAATGAGGTAGCAGGTACATCTAGTAGGTTCCCGTTCTAAATCGCTAAAACAAAAATCGCTAAAAATTGGGAACATGGTTTATATCTCCTAGAAAATTTTTAAAGTAAATTTGAAATTAATATTAATAGAAACTAGGGGATTAAATACTTGTATTTAAATTGAAAATTTAAAAAAAATCGCTAAAATGGAAAGCGATTTTTTTTAAATTTTCAATTTAAATACAAGTGTTTAGTCCCCTAGTATCTATTAATATTAATTTCAAATTTACTTTAAAAATTTTCTATGAGATATAAGCCATGTTCCCAATTTTTAGCGATTTTTGTTTTAGCGATTTAGAACCTATCCCATCTAGTACATGACAATGCACTCTAATTTTAATTCTAATGTCATTCAATTAGGGGCTCTTTCCATATTAAAATGATCTGGAGATAAATATGAATATCTCGGAATTACTACAAGATAGACAGGTAAATTTTTAATGTATAATCATTTTTGAATGTTAATAAAATTTAAAATAATTTATCAAACAAAAATATTTTAAGGGAGTCAGCTTCAGAAAATGAAATAAGCTTATGTTTTAGATAAGTTTTAATAATTTTTTGCCGATCCCATCCAAAACAAATATCTGATCAGCCGATTCTGACGCCTCTTTGTAATAATTTTGTTTTATAACACTTAATGTTATGTGTATATCTCAAGATGTTTTGCATAAAGAAATAGCTGCTAATTCTGAGATAGCACATATATAACCAGGTCATTATAATATCGGCCAAAATAATGGTACAGCCCTGCATCCAATATAATTATATAATAAATTATTTATTTTACTAATTAAAATATGTAATTAGTCGAAGTCCTGTATCAGTAGCGGCTGCCGCAATATACATGGCATGTTCGGTCTCTGATGATAAGAAAACCCCTGCTGGTAATTGAATTTGAGTTTTAATATAATTTATAATTTAATATATCTAAAACGCTATTTTAGTTAGTTTATACTAGACAATTAAACAATTAATTAAATCTTGTTTTTTAGCAGAATTTTATTATAAATAATTATTTTCATAGTTTTTTCTTTTGATATTTTTGGCAAGAGTGTATAAAAATTAAGGGTTAGAGAGAGAAAACCTAGAAGAGGATGTGCCGAGTGAAGTGAGAATAATGAAGTATTTTAACTTTTTTTTATATTTTGAATTTAACTATTATGATATCTAATAGTGTTTCCAAATTGAGCAAATTTTTAGATGTATTAAAATTCAAATAATTTATTTCAAGTGGTTTCATCCAAATTGGTCTGATTCTATTGCAACGTAAAAATATAGTTAACATTATTGGGTTTTACATTTTTCGATATTGATTTTTTTATACATTGCGGTAGTTATAAATGGAAATATATTTTATAATGAAATTTTTTACATTTTTTAAAAAAATCTCTCCTAATAGTGCATACATTCTGTTTGAATCAACAAACGTAACCGCTCATTTTGTAAACACTATAACTTTTTAAATGTAATTCTGTTTCAAAGATGATTTTTCGCGATTAAGAAAATAACGAAAATTTTAATTGTTTTCATAGTATAAATATTTTATACCTATTTTTTTACTTATAGAAATAGGTGGAATTGCAGGTGTTGCTGAAGTTACAATAAAACAAAGTTATAAGTTATTACATTCAAGAGCCAGAGACCTATTTCCCGACGATGTTAAAGCCAATATACCTTATGAAAATTTGCCATCGCCCTAAAAAATATATAACAAATTTTTCGTAAATTACGAATTATTATTGAACGTGAAGCAAAATGGAATATTTTTTAATGCCAAAACGTATATTACCCAATGTCAAATTCTCGGCCACCTAATATTTTTCAAACTTAAAACATTTTCAAATTACAAAAAAAATTATGTCAGACATTTTATTTTGTAAAATATTAATTAATTTATTATAATAATTTAGGATAATAATTAATAAAAAATTATTATTTATATGGAAAAAATATTTTTTATTACAATTCATTATTAAAATCTATATGAATCCATAATAAATGACCATTAGTCTTAAAATTTGGTTGCCTCTTTCTTAGATCTAATAATTGCAACGATTATTTGAGGCATAGAACCAATTAGTCTGATATCTATTTATAGATATGGAATTACGAATTACTAATATTTTTATTGAGGGAAAGTTTGTTTCTGTTTTATGCATATTGAGATATCTAGGTGTTTTGTCACATTTTTCTAATGGGGGCTTAAATCAGAACTACCTGCTGACCATTCTAAATAATTAATATTGATGTATATTTTAATTATTGTCCTTATTATATTCACCCGAAAGTAGTCTTGATTATCTTCTTATAGGGAGCTTATTTTTACTTAAATTTATTATCCTTCACTGAAGAAACGTTTAATCAATCTCGGCTCTAAAAGTTACTTTACAAAAATGTTACACATTGGTCATATTATATCAAATAGATCACGATTCCTATTAACCTATTGATATTTAGGTGAAAATTTGTATACAAACTAAAGTATGCTTAACTAAAGCATAGTCTAAATTTTAACATCTAATCCTAGCTCTTATATTTTAAGAATAGCAACCAATTATAAAATTTAAAATCCATGTAGAAATAACGAGTTTGTGCTATTTTTATAAAATTTTAAGCAAATGTTACTAAGACCAATCTATAGACAGATTTCAGGCCACCCCAACGAAGGATTCTACCTTCGTCAGCAGATTTCGCTTGAAATCTTCCGGTCTACTTTCTAGGATTCATTCCTCTCTAGGGTGATATATGATTCTTTTTTTTGTTCTCTTTAATATTTTTCATATAAAATTTATATATATCATTTTTAATATATTCTTATTTTTTTTAATATTATATTCCATTTTGATATCGTTTAAGTTGTATTTTATTTCTAAATTGAAACCGTTTTTTAACCCTTCAATACTATGCTGGGGTATATGAAACCCCAGGCATGCTAAAAATGATATTACATAAAAATGGTTTATGATCTGGATTCTTCAGTAGCTTCATCAAATATATCTTAGAATCTATATTCCAAATTTCATATATTTTGGTTAAGTAGTTTTTAAGATATAAGCATTTTGTGACTGATTGTGGTTTGTGAGCAGTGGCGTAGCTAGGAATTTTCCTTAGAGGGGGTCCATACATATAAAAGCTGTGGGGCTTCGCCCCCAGACCCCTTTAACGGGCCTTCGGCCCTTTTGCCCGGCCTTCGGCCGGGTTTATCTTACAAATCATAATCATATCTTCGATAATATATAATAAATATATTTTTTAAATGCATCAATAATATGTTATTATAATTTAGTAGATTATTCTCAATGACTTTATAATAATACTATCCAGAATAATTTCAATAGTAATATAATATCCTTCCACAAACATCAAAACCAGAAAAATATAATTCATATAAAATCACTTTTAAGTCTTTTGAACGTATAATCTCAAAAAATATTTTGCTCTGGGAGGGGTCCAAACCCGAAAACCACCCCCGTAGCTACGCCACTGTTTGTGAGACCCCACCAGAATTAATTTATAATTTTTAAGAAATTTTTTTTTAAAAATTATAATTATATACTAGTATATTATAAAATTTATTAAAGTAAAATATAATAATCTTATATTTTGAGTGAGATATAGGAAATATAAAACGTAAAGATTTTCTCTGGGGGAGTTATTTTATTTTTATTTTTCACCAGCTGACTCATTTCTCAAATTATTTTTATCATTTATAATGATGTTTGCAGATTCTGAAGCTAAATATATAATTATTTAAGATGTAATATCATTTTATTTGAGGTGATTATGACAATATAATTAATAGTGAGGATGAAGATATGATAGTGATCATGATACACAATCTGAATTAGATGAAGAAATGTTAGTTGAAGACAATAAACTTAATTAATTATATTCATGTAATTATGAAATCGTTTATCATAATATCTAAAAAAATAAGTTTACTAGATGGAAAAAGGATCTTCCTAATCAAAGAATAAGAACACTTCAACAAAATTTAATTATTCAACTGCCAGGAGTAAAAGAATAAGGGAAAGAAGCTGACACTCCAGAAAAATGTTTTGACTTGTTCATAACACCAAAAATGATTGAAGAGATTATTTATCATACCAAGGAAAAATTAATATTTTATGTAATAACTATACTGACCAATATGAAAGTTCTACTAAAGAGGTTGATGTAACACAATTCAAGACATTATTGGGAAATCTTTATTAAGCTGAAAATGAAAATAAAAAAAACAAAATATTTTTTTTCAAATATGTAAAATATATTTATGTTTAAACACATTAATGTTTTATGTAATAAATGTTTTGCATGTCAAATTTAACATATTTCAATATTCTATATTTTTTTTATGTTTGAATGTATTAGTGTAATTTTTTTTATATTATGAATTATCATGATTATATGATAGATAAGTTATTTTTTAATTTATTATTTAAAATTTAAAAAAAGTAAGCTTTTTTAAAAATTTTGACACAAATTATAATTATCCTCATCATCTTTAATCTAAGCTTAAGAAATAAAAATAAATAAATATTTTAACAAGTTTAAGGTTAGTTCTATCTTATATCCAAATATTAAATAAAAATAATGAATATAACTGGAGATATATACATTTGAAATTGGGGTCTATTAAACCCCACCAGGGTACTAACGTCATTTTTACACCGGAGTATTGAAGGGTTAAATAAAATTATTCGCAAAGAAAAGTTTTTATATATTAAAAAGTATTAAGAAAGTTTTTTTATTTACTATATTATATTGTATTTATATCCAGGACGAGAACCCAAACCCTGAACCCGAACCCTCGATATTTCGCTGAACTCAAACCCATTTTTAAAATTTAGGGTCTCTCAGGGTTCAGATGAAATGAGAGATTTAAAAAAATAAAGTTCTCACTCTTATTTACACAATAAAGAAAAACTCAAACAGGAAATTAACTTGGAAAATTCAATAAAATATTCTAAGAATGTTAAAATTTTTACTTACGAAAATCATCTATGAATTTTTTTAAAAAATCAGCTTTCTGTATTTCTTGAATAAGCAAAAAAAAATTAGGTATTTCCGCTTTGTTAAATTTTATTAAAGTTACATTAAGCACATTTGTCGGATGGGGGTAGGAGATAAATATCTTGGTGTGAAAAACTGAACCTAAAATGCCCCTAACGCACTTACGATTATGAGTAAAAGAGATCAGAAGAGATTGCCAAGTTATTTTTTTATCACATCAAGATGTGTGTCATATTTAAGCCAACTCTTGCTTACTTAATAGACACAATAAATAACGAAATGCCCTTATAATATTTCGCCCTTATTGCCGTTATCGTGGTAAATATATATAGAATATCTTGTTTTTCTTCTAATAAATTCATTTGCAATCCTTTCTTTGGCAATAATGCCCTGCTTTAATAAATTCGCGCATTAAAAAATACTAATAAAGGCGATAAAAGTTTTGCTTTAACTCCAAATTTTTCACGGAAATAAATTCGCGATATTGCCTTTTATAAAGTTTCGCCTTAAAAACGACATTCGCTATCAAGACTTCCCTAAAAAGTGTTTTGCGATAAAATTTTTCTGAATTGGCCTGATACGTCGATGGTTTGAAAAATATTTTTGGAATATATAGTATATTGAGCATTGCAAACGCAAATAATGCACTTAAAATAGTATCGTGCAAATTGGTCAAAATACCGTATGGCGTCAGAAACCATTTAAAATGATTTACCTTTCCTATTCATCATTTTGCACCTTGACTATAGACTAATTTTTTTAGCAACTCGTTTTTTTCACAAGAAAGTTGACCAAACTTTGTTACCCAGATAAGATTAATAAAGTGGAGGGCAGTAAAATTCCCTTCGTTGTTTAATTATTATGTTAATTAAATTTAATATTAAATAAATGTCTTTTAAAATAGAATATCTAAGAAATTAATGAAATAATAAGGCAGATAATATAATTTACAAAAACCAATTCTTTTTTATAACTTAAAAATTTTGAATCGACGATACTAATAAAAAGTCAACCTCAATTTAAGCAAGGAATGCGTATATTTTTTCATGAAAAAACTGCAGCGCACTGAAATACTGGGCAATTTACTTTTTATTTCTAAACATAAGTTAAGATATTGCATAAACACGTGTTGTAGTTTCTAAACTATAAATCAGAAAATCGATTGAATGGAATAGCTTTATTAAATATACATAGATATTTTATCTCAATACAGAATAAATAATTAAGAAATTGGCTCAATTGCAAAGATTAAATTTCCATTTACGAATATTTTGAGTAACTTTTTAAAATAATTATATAATGTTTAATATATATTTCATTATTTTACTTATTGGTCTTCTGAAATAAAGTTCTATTTTTCAAAGATCATTTGTTCTTATTGGTATTCATGCCAAAATATACCTTCAAATCTCTATATATTTTAAAATATGCAATACCTACTTAGCGTTTCTTGGAAGATATCTACGAATTAATTATTCATACCCAGATTTAAAATATCCTTTGAATAAAATTGGGCCAGATTTTTGATTTTTTAAATATCTAGCGCCCATATATTTTTAGAAGAATTGTGAGGTAATAAATTTTGTAAATTGGATACTCATGATAAATCACTAATCGTGATTGATTTGGATTAAAAATACTCTGAAAGTGGTATAAGGACAATTATTTTGTAATAAACTTCAATCAAAGTACCGATATTGGAATGATATCTTTCGGTGCAAGTCAAGGCTTCCGCATCTCATATAATTTTCTCATGCAATTGGTCAATATTGTTTTTTACTTTTCTAACTTATATTAAAATAATTAATAACAGCAATTTTCTTGATTTCGGCCGGTGAACGTGATTTTTCTTCATAATAATTTTAGTTTGAATGGCATGACAATAAT